GACAAAAGAGTCGATGTAGTCTTTGGCCTGGTGATTGTTGAACAGACAGCACCTGCACACACCAGATACACACGAGTACTTTTGAGTAATTCTTCTGGTGGAATAACGGATGCCTCACAGTTAGGGGTTCTGCGTTTGAATTTCTTATGCATGGACTGTAAACATGCATGTTCGATTCACTGAAGGCTCTTAATTGTCCATCGGTGCGAATGCGAGTAGTTATGTTGCTAGGCCAATGAGAAAAAATTAACATAAACATGCTCACTATGTTCTCTGAATAACAAAGGCCACTAGACGGAGAGATTTAGAGCAACAGCAAGTCGGGAACAGGAACAGCAAGCCATGGGCGGGAACAATAGAATGATACTCTGTATTCATTAGAAAATGCAAGACGAGAAAGCAAGATGCACAGCTGGATGTAGTGATGGCCTCAATGTACAGGATTTCAAGATATAGAAATCCCAGACTTACTTATATGAAAGGACGGGTGGGCTGACAAAGTATCGCAGGGCGTCTTTGATCATGTCCTGCATCAGATGGGTGCCAAATACTTTCTTGTTGTCAATCAGGAAGGTCGTCTGGATGGACCACAACAATCACGTTCAGTGTCCACAGTGCCCTAACAAACGTACACTCGGGCGTGAGCTCACCTGAAGTAGAGATCTGGACAGCACGCAAGGAGACTGCTCGCTGAACTCACAGAAGAAGTCCTATAGTTCAGTGTAACCAAGATAATAAAGCAGAAGACATTCACAATATGTACAAAGAGACTTTTTGTTTTCACCTTCTGACATGAAATCTGAATATTTTTTTCCTGTGAGGATTACCGAGATTATTTTTATTAGCTAAATGCCAGAATAATGTGAGGAGGCAGAAAGGTTTAATATGATCTCATGTCAGCCAGTAAGAAAAAAAAAAGCATCTGCATTTTATATCGTGGATGTAAACTTTTGGTTTCAACTTGCATTAGGTACAATCCTCCGCCATTACCAGAATGCCGTGCAGGTTGGTAGTGTTAATGACGTCACAGACGGTCTTGATGCGCTCGATGAGCTTGCCGAAGTAAGCCACCATGTCCTCCCTCTTGATGATCTTGGCGTAGCGAGGGAAAGTGGGCGGCAGCAGGCGCTGGTTGACCAGTGGTTCGAAGCCCATCATGATGGGGTGATCTGCCATTATAATATTTTTTTTTATTCCCCCCCAAAAACTAGCTGAGCAAGTCATTTTTATTAAAAATACATATTAGACGTGCGAGCTTTTTTTTTTTTTAACCTCCTTTGGTGGTGTCGTTCTGTGACTGGATGCCGTGTTGCACGCTAGAATGAATGGCTGACAGGAGGTCAGCTGCCTGGGCGACAAGCTTCTGGGCCTCCCCCACCGAGCTGGTCTGTTACACAACACAAACGTGTCGCTCACTTCCGTGTCTGTCACTGCGTGCCTTTTTGAAGGGGGAACTTAGCCAAGTTACCTCTTTTTTAGTGAAGGCGATCAGTGCCGTTAAGAGAAGACGTGTGAACTTGATGCGGTTGAACAACGCCAAGTATTGCTGATGCTGGAAGTAACACACACACACACAGGAACAGCAATTTAGGGAACATTAGCAACAAGTCGGTGCTACCCTTACAAAAAAAGTAGTGGAAGTAGAAACGACAAGTTGGGAACATGATCTGATTTCCCTGGCAAATTTTATTCATGAGTCACGCTAACTATTTGCTGTCTGTGCAAGAAAGGGAAGCTACATGTTTGTTTAGCTTCTATAAGACAATAAAAGCAGTGATGGATGACCCACTACTCGATCATTTTAAAAAAAGAACTGGTCTAGCTATTAGTCGTGAGCCTCTATTATCCAACACATCTGAAGCCGTCCACACACTTATCTACTAGCGTTTATGTATCCCAAAAGACAATCACCTCCAGCTCCACCTCGGGGTTTCGCTGCTCGCCCTGACGACTGCGTGTGCTCTGAAAGGTGGACACAAAACAAAACATAAAACACCGAAGGATTCGGCAGACATGGGGTAACCTTAATCAATAGATTACCTTGACTTTCCTCTGTAACTCATCCTCCACATCTTTCAGCATACCTGGAAGACAAGCGGGGCGACGGTTTTGATCTTTGCTCTTGTTTGACCTTTTCGGATGAGACATGCGAAAGCGTAATCATGTTGTACCTGTCACCCGCAGGTCAGTGACATTGTTGGCCATCCTGAAGCCGTACGTCATGGCCTGGAAGTCCTCCTACATAAACAAAGGGCAGATGTCACTCCCGGGTTCGTCCTCCCACACATCCATGAAGGTGTCGAACCTACGGCCCACCTCTTCAAACACAGCTGCCTTGTTGACTTTCTCCCGTGCAATGTCACAAATTTTCAAAATGCCCAGGGCGAAGGCCTTGAGGGCGGGCTCCTCAATCAAGTCCGGGTTGTGGACATACAGGCAAGTGAATACCGTCTGAGCCAGGGAGTGGCCCTCCAGCCATGTGATCTGCACCAGGTCACACGTAAAGTACATGTTCAAACATCCGCACGGGTACATTGGTGAGAGATTGTTGAATGTTCAGTGGGAGACTCGCCAAGCAGCAGAAGCACGTGTCCATGATTCCGATGAGTTCAGGGAGGCTCAGATCTTTCACCTTGATGGCGTGTTCCTACAGGGAATAAAATAGACACTTACGAGGAACATCTAAAGGGGAAGTCAAGTCCAAAATGTTCTTTACCATAATATGTTCTACGCGCCCCCACTACTCTGATTACATATTAGGGTTGCAAGCCAAGCTTAGTGTTTTTAAAGAGGGTTTCAAACAAGGGTTATAGTTTGAAAGTCGATTTCAAGCCTGTTTTGTCAATTCAAAACTGTGTTAGGGTTTCAAACCTGGATTACGAATTCTAAGTTTGGCTTCAAATCCATTTTAGGGTTTCACATTGTGGTTTCGATTCTGAGTGTGAAACAAGGGAAATAATTTCAAATGAGGGTTTCAAAGCTGCTTTCGGATTTCAAACCCAAGTTTGGATTTCAAACAAGGGACACGGTTTCTACTGTGGGCTTAAAATTATGGTTTCAAAACATGGTCTTAAACCAGGTTTAGGGTTTCACATTATGGCTTTGAGCATGGGTTGGAATTTCAAATCGGGGTTCATGATTTCAAGCCTGTGTTAGGGTTTCAGTCTGAGTTTGGGTTTCAAGCTGAGGTTTACGGTCTGTTGTAGGGAAAAACTTTGCTCTCCCTCCAGCACATTAAATTGACTTTGTGCATGCAATGGGTTGTGTTCACATGTGCTCAATGCGAGCAGTGGTGTACCTTTATGGCTTGCTCAAAGTTGAGCACTTTCCGGTTGACTTGGTTCCCGATCATCCCGGCGTCCATCTTGGGATCCATCATCTCGATGGCCGACATGGCCTCAAACAAGCCGAACCTGCAACCGTCAGAAAAGCGTTTTTTGTTGTTGTTGCTGTAAATACACTTAAATCTTCTCTGCTTGACTATTCTGGTCCTTTCCATACTTACAGCATGTCATGAAGCAACTCCCCAAGGCTCAATTCTACATAAAAAAAAAAAAAAAAAAAAAAAAAAAAAGGTCAATGTAAAAAGAGAGGAAGACAGATCTATCTGATGTCTACTATTATGTACCTTTACAAGAACTCTTGAAATCATGGGTAATGTCCACCCAGTTGGCGTTATTCTTCATCTTTTCCGGGATGCCCAGACCCCAGCCAGCATCATCCTCTTCCCCCGATGACTTCATCACCATGGTGACAACTGTGCATTCACACACAGAGGACATGAAGAGACACATTTCTTATTAATTTTCCTACCTATCAAATCTAAACGCTACTCTGGCATCACACGAAGAGGCAGCTCATGGTAGGTCAATGGCATGCTTGGCTGCACTAAATACTCTCTGGTTAACTGCAATAGGGGAGAGTGCCCATCACGACTAAACCATGTCTATTTGGATTAAGATAACAATTACTGCAGTCACACTACTAGAGAATCACAAGAGCATTTATGTACGTGTGTATGTATTTATTTATTTAATACTGCATTGCTTGCTGCATGTCGAACTGACTTAGGATAACAATTGAGGCTACAGTGAATTACTGTAAAATAAATTCACGGGAGCATTAAACTACTTTGGAAGTCCTATCTAGAACAAGACCTCTACTACAACTAAAATAAGGAACGAGAGCAAAAGCAAATATGTTTTAGGGTTTCAAATTAGAGTTTGAAGAGAACGTCGGGGTTTCAAGCTTGTATTAGGATTTGGAACAAGGATCAGGATCTCAAATTAGGGGTTCAAAGCAGACTGACATGTCTAACTGGGTTTGGATAATGATTAAAGTCAATTATTATAAAAGATTCGCAAAATCAGAACATGTGACCACTTTAGACAGATTCTAATCTGGAAGATTCGTGCCAGTATAATTTACTTTCCAACTAAATAAACAAACAAATAGTGACAGTTCACAATAACTTGATTTAACATGCAACGACAAGCAATGGAGTGAAAGAAAGGAACGCGTACATACACTGTTTGGTTAATGAAAGTAAATGACTCGAGGGACATAGGCAATACGAAAAAATGTACGATTCTACTAAAAGATGCAGAGCTAGCTAGAGGCAGTAATGCTAAATAGACCATTTTGTCTTAGGTAACATGTTTATATTTACTGTTTTAACCCTCCAGCGTCCCACACATGAATAATAACAGTTTAAAAAGTGTTGCTTTGACTGAAATTCGATACATACCTTATTGTTTTTTAATAGCCATGTAGCTTTAGCTTGAAAGGGAATAATTTCACGGGACCTACAGCCCGGGCTCAATAATATGGCGTCATCAGCAAACCTAAATTGCTGGGATTTGTAGTTTTTGGCATCCCGTTCAAAACCCAGCCCCCGCGGGACACTTCCCGCTTGCAATTCACCGCCCAATGCTGAAGATTATACCATAAGTGTTGTATTTGGTGACGACCATGGCGCACTCGCTGTATCAAAGGCGTATGAGCACGTAAAACCGCAGTAAGAGTCGTACTCTCGCGTGGCTCGCTCACTTTGACAACCTCTCTCTCTCTGACAGTCTTGCTTGGGGCTGCCCCTCATCACAACATCACCAGGGCGTTTCAGCCAGCCAGCCAGACGAAACACACTATTACACAATAAATACACACTCTTTAGCTGCCGCCGTTATCTCAGGAAGACAGCCGTTCCTTGCTTCGGAGGTAAGTCATGCCCATTCTCCGTACGGCGCCGCCCGGGCTGACCGCTTTGTCTTAACGCGGCGGGGGCGTTCTTAAAATCGGCTTTCTTGTGAGCTCAGTCCGGCGGTAACAGACTCGTCCGCGACGGCAGGTGCAGCGGCCCCCGGGCCGCTAACGGTTGTAGCCTCTTGAGTGTTTTCTTACGCCCTTCCAGACAGTTACGGCGACTTGGTTACCAGCGGCGGTCTCGTGTTTCATCTGCGTTGTTATTTCACTTTGCTTTGTGATGGATTTGTAAGGGGGTCATAGGAAGGCTATCAGCCATCTTTCAAATTGCAATGGCTGTCAAGTGACAGAAAGACCTTATCGGAATAACAACGTCAAGCTCGCTTGATAAATATTTAAACAGGGCTTGGAAACCTGCAAGTGTAAATCAGTCCACAAGGCCCACAAAACATAAGTGCCCATGTCTAATAACAATAAAAGGAAGTTCCCAATTCTCATCCCTTACTTCAACCATTTGGCCCAATCTTTTTTCCCCGTTTTGCGGCTTATTGCTTAGTATTTACCTTATGTGACCGTTTGTATAATACATGCAAAATAAAGTGCATAGAATGCACGAAATTGCTACAAATTGGGTATTTTTATTTACAGTATTTATTTATTTATTTTTAGAAAAAGAGTCATGCTTTGACTTGTTGGGGAAAATTTGCTATGTTTGGTGTATGGTGGCAAGGCATTCAACTCTGCTCACTCACAACAAGCAGCGGTTCAGTCATTGTGAATAAATCTTCAAAAAAGAGACTTCAAGCATTTTGATGCCTCTCCCAGTCAAGTTTAATGTCACAAACAAAAAGACACACTTGGTATGTAAAACGACTGCATGATTTGCATTCAAGTCTACTAACTTAATGCTAATGAATAGCGACTAATGGCGGTGCTATAATGTTTTCAGGATCAGAGGCTTGTACACAATCGGTGCAGTAACACATATAGACAATCTAATTTAATAATACTTACAGGCATGTGTTCTTTATCCTATGCGAAAAGCAGGTACGATTACTGCAGATTACTGGGTTACTTCCAGTAGTTGAATGAAACTCTTCTTTGTTGTCTGCATGACTATGTTGTCTTTTCACACCGCACTTGGTTTTCAATGTGTTTGTCGCGGGGCAACAGGCATGGATGACAAAACCCGAGTCCCAGCTTGCCCATATTTGGAAGTGCTTTTGTGGCACCCAACCAGGAAGTAACCAGCATATATCGTGCACCCAAACATTTTATCATGAACTAAATATAACACAGAACACTTTAATTTAGTACAACAAGCAGGGATCATGAAGCCCTTTGCGAGGAAAGGATATGCCTGAATGAATAAAACAAATATATTAAAACAGTTGCCTCTGACTGTTGTCAATAAAAATTGACTCGTGACCCATTTTGGTACCCATTCAACAGCAACACAGCTGCATGTTGTCCTGCAATGACACATTATACACTCAATGAAAGCATATTATGACTGGCCTTATTTTGCCTCACAAGTGCTCCTGTATTGGCTCCGTTCACTCAAGCCACTTAGTTTTGAAACTGCATGCATTCAGTGTTTATGTCTTTCATAGACGACATGCCATGTTGATGTGACGAAAATGAACAAACCGAAGATGGCCTCAGAGAAGGGGTGAGTGTTTTTTTTTAACTCCATCCAAGCAAAATGATGCCATTTGTCCACGCTTCTACTCTTTCGTACTGTTACGCACCCTTGAGTGTGTTGTCATCCCTTTTGAACTCCCAGTGTAGCACCAATGCTTGTTTTGTGTCCTATTACGTATTTTTGTGCACAAAAACTTCACATGAATGAGGTTAACGTGGGCAATTATGCAGAGGCTTTTTGTTCTTGTCACAATTCCCCATTTTAAAATTATGTGTGTTATGCAAATGTATAATGTACATTTACTCAATGTTGCAAGAAAGAACTGTAATGCTATGCGACAAGAAAAAAATATTACGCACAAACTGAAACTTATGGGAATTAAATCATTATGAGGGAAAAAAAAAGTTGCTACAAAAATTTGTAATATTTCCAAAGAAAAGATAATAATCCTAGGAGAAATTACAAATATGTTCAACAATCAGTTTTTAATGTTAAAAAAAAATATTTTGTGAGAATCGAGCTGATATGTTTTTTTTTTTTGTTTTTTTGTAGACTCAAAAGTGAAGAGGAAACAGAGGATTAGAACTGAGGCAGGGTTTAATGACAAAAAAGCATAGCGTATGAGCAGGGTGCAGAAATTTCTTAGTGAAGCAGATGGCAATGCGATGGGCTCTTTTGAGTGTGCTTCGTAAATGTGGGACTTTGGTGACAAGGTGGAACAAGGCTGGACCAAGGATTTGGCAGCAAGCCGTGTGCAGGCACGAGTGAGAAGGAAAAGAGTAAAAGAGTCAAAGAGGACACTACACTGTCAAACACATAGCTACACCCCGTTGTGTTCGCCAAAATACCACTTCCAGAAGTGGGAATCATCTGGCACCTGCATAAAGATCAGGCAGGCACTTAAACCGAGTTGATGACTGATCAACTGATTGCAGGTGGAGTGTGAGTGAGTGCCCTCTCGGAACAGATCCGCCCAGCCTGAAACAAAAAACACACCAAAAAAATAAATAAATAAAGTTGTACTTAAGGGAATAAAGAAAAAACTTTTACAAAACTGTTCATATACAAGAAAAATGAAACAAAACCCTTTTTGGACAAATATTCCACGTTTGCAATATTACAATCTTTTGAGAATTAAGTCATTTTTTAAAATGCAAATACATTCATAAATACAAAGAAATTTGCAAGATTATGAAACATGACCAAATCTCATGTTGCTAGGAGGATAACTGTTTCCAGAATACTTTAATGAGAATAACGAGTAACATAATATGAGCAAATCATTCGGTATTTCTTTTTAGTGTGGCCCTCATTCCCCTTCATGTATAACTGATGCAATGTGTTTATTTGGGCATGTATTGAACGCTCTTGTGCGCTCGCTTGCCATTTTTACTTGCGCTGTCCCCAGTGTGCACTCTTCTCTGCTGTGTCTTTATAAGGACATGGGGAACATTGAGCTGCGCTGGGTACAACTTGGATTCTCTTCTCCCATGTTTGCCGTTGCCGTACCAAGCAGCAACCTTTCACCCCGCTCATCCAGCCTTGCCCTAAACTTTCTGAAATTGTGTCTACCAAAGTCCACATTGCAGACCCTGGTGTTTTGCTAGTTCTATAAATACCACCCTCGTCTGTCTAAACATGGCTGTTTTAAATGCAGCCTTGTTATTAATCATTCGCCCATGAGGATTAAAATTATTTTGATGTTGTTGTTGTCATTATGAAACCCATTGATTATTTGTTTTGTGTATCAAGTGTCATTTTGGGGCTTGGGCTGTCTTTGAACTGAACAGGGATAAACTAAGAGAACACAGAATTTAAATGGCTAACCTCAGATGACCCTGATGTATCCCAACGGGATGTTATTCCCAAACATTCCAATACACAAATGAATGGATGTCAGCAATGCGGTGCCTCGTTTCTACTCTACAGTGCCGTTGTTTTTTTGCACAAAACTCAAAATTCAAGCAAATTCAATCCAATTGATGGTCGCTCTCATTTCTCTCCCAGTGTTCCCAGTAACTCCAGAGTGCAGATCCTGCTGACCCAGCTGGAGAAGATGACCGGGGACTCCATGGTGAGGGATCCCGAGATGGCGCGGCAGATCACCTCCAAGCTCCTGCATCTTATACAGACACAAGGTAAGCGCTCACGAAAAATAAATGTATACATCTTTAAATAATAGATGCCACTGGACTACCGGGTGGCAGAAAGAGAAAGATTATTGCTGACTTGAAATTCAGTCAGTGACAAAAATGTATGATAGCGGTATTTAGGAAGCAGTATTTTTCCATTTCAAAATTAATGCAGTGGAAACCTGTGGGTTAGGAGGATTAATGTACTGAATATCAAAAATTGTTTTACAGAGTAGCGCTGGACAATTCATCTAAATTTAATTGTAATTTCATTATTGGTTCCTCGCGATCCTGAAAACATTATTGTCGAAGAACAATGATTAATATGCCAAACATCGCATTTGCAAGATTCCAACATAGTGGAAGAACCATGTCTGTGCACCAAGCGTCTGACCTTTTTGTGATTCTGTCCTACCTGAATGTTCTTTAAGCTGTTTAATGAATGGAGTTTACTGTAAAACTAAACACACAACAAAAATAGTTACACACATTGTCTATTTAAATACAAGACATTTCATTTATAAAACATTGCTCGTTGTTTCATTGTTGTATATATGATATTTGCTCCATGTACTGCACTTTGTATACAGCGATGGTTGTTTTAAAGTGCTCTATAAATACAGTACAGTTGAGTTGAGTTGAGTTGCTAGCGCTGATGCTAAAGGAAGTTTAAAGTCCCATTGACATGCTAATGAGAAATTAGCATCGACTTTGTGACATTCCTTCAAATAACGAATACTCGAACACAAATGTCGAGGGAACACATGAAGCCATTTCCACATGATATGCCACGCAGTAGGATATCCAAGGGCCCAGGTTCGCACAGTCAGTGCCAAGACGTGTGAAAATAAAAATCTAACAACAAAATAAGAAAAAGTAAATATGATAAAGAGAAGCAAGATGCAAAGATGCAATGCAGCAAAGGTGTGGCTGCAGCAGAATGAAAATGCAAGTCTTGATTTCCACATGATATTTACAAAGTAATTTTGGACTTGATGGATAGAATACAGTTTTCAAGAATAAAGTGTTCAATATGCACGGTGGATATGGGCACGAGGGTATGATGGTAGATTGGAATAGTTGAATGAATACTTCGGATTTGAAATCAATGAAAAATTATTTTTATTAATCGGGATTTCAATATCAGTCAAAATAGTGATTAGAATTTTTTTTCCATAATCGCCCAGCCCAAGTGCACAGAAGATCGAAAGACTGCCTCGAGGGGGAGTAGCCTCTTCTAAAGGGACACTGGAAAGCTTGTGTCAAGAACACGCGTTGTTGAGGATCCAAGTGCAGGGAAGCAGTGAGGCAAGGCAGGTGCTCTCTCAAAAAAGTATTTGATTTCAAAAAACTCAAAAAGGAAAACAAGGCACTCTGGAATCACCTCAAAGGTCCAAAAGACTAGGTATAAAAAAAAAAAAAATAGACTAATCTTATGAGGACGTAACATGACAAGTGACAAGAACAACAAACCAAAGTGAAACTGGTTTTGCAAGCGTGAATGAAGGCGTGGATGTGGTTCTCTGTTGGAGCCAAAACATAAAGTATAATGGACACCAGCCTAAAAACTACACGACGAGTAGCCTTAAATAGTGTGTTTCGTTTTAAATGTTGGATACATATTGAAATAGTTTTACAAATTGTTGACTCAAGCTTAAAATTGTCAACATATTACCTACTGTCCTACCGCTGCTATATACTGACCTCTCGTGGCATGTACTACACAGCACAAAACATCACCCCCACTTGTGTGAAAATCCTGCAGTTACTGAAGTGAAATCACACGTGACGTCACTCACGCATGTCACACACAATGACGAGTAAAATTTTTTCTGAAAACACCCGATGCATCTTTCTGAAAATGTGTTCAAACTTTAAGGTTGAGGTTTAAGTAAAAGAACTCATTGCATTACTGATAATAATGCAAATAACTAAAATGTATATAGTAAGGGCCAAGGACTCTCTTAAATGATTAAATCACTGCATTTATGATTAGTGTATTGTTTATTTTCTTACATCTCGTTCATGTATTGATTAATCTGATAATTTGTTTGTTTTTATTTAATTTTGATAAGTTACTACATCAGTCTTTTCTGTGCCAATAACTGAATAAAAAAAATATAAATGAAATGGGAGTCAACTTTACCTTTAATCGTGAGATTGGGATGGCACGGGATAAACATTTCACGGGAACATATGAGAGTGGGATTGACCAGTTCGAAAAAAAATAACCTCGGACAGATACACAGCCATTTTTAATGCAGTGGGAGTCTTTCTGAACGGGGAGCAGGACGGGAGTGGGAGTTATTTTCACTAGGGAGTGGGACGGGACAGGATTTTTAAAAACTATAGTCCGGGATTTTGCTGGGATGGGTCCCATGTCTCCCTCTAGTGGTCGGAGATGCTTCACATTTCTTGGCTGTGTTCAAAAATTGTATTTTGAGCCCTGGAGGCCACCATATAGTACCTCTCACTTTTCTGGAATTTTGAACGTGGTTATACCTCCCTACCATGACGAATGGGTGCAGCAAGAATGTCGTATGTCTCTCACGCCCGCTCATGCCCCCCCTTCCTCCCTGTCTGTCAGCTGTTCCTCTCATCTGTAACACACACGCACACACTTAGAAACACCGCCCCCCTGTAGGGTGTGTGACGCTGGTACCGATCTATCTGCCGGTAACTGTAAACCCTGGGCTGCAATTTGGTGTCCTCAGGTTTCACATTTAAAGTGTGTGAGACTTGGAGGTCAAGAACAAGGGTGGCGGCGGGCAATGACAGCGGGGATTTTTTTAGTGGACTGTCTAATGTGTCTTGAGAGGCACATTACTCAAGTTGTTTCTCATTTTCATACCCTGCCTCATGGTTCTCCGTACTGATTGGGAAAAATATATGAAGTTAGGTTGTTATTTTTTTAAAACAACACATGGCGTATTTTGTGCAGATAGTGTTCTGTGTGCAGTCAGGACATGCTGCTTTGGAAATACAATTAGCAAAAAATAAAAGTGTTTGAGAACCTATAAATGGAGCGCCGCTACACCAGGAGGTACTGCGGCGACCACCCTGACTCTTCAGGTAAAGTTACATTGAACGGTTCAGATGATTTCTACAAAATGTGTGGCCCTCACAAATGTTTCATGTAACTCACATAAAAGTGAAGTGAAATACAATTGACAGCATAAAAAAGAAATAAATACCACACTAATTTTGTCCAAATAATGTGCATCGAACCAGCCTGACCTAGTGGCATGCTGTGGTGACTGCAAAGAAAGTTCCAGTAGACGGATGAACGGCTGTCTCCTGTTTGTCTCGCAGAGAAGACATCGAAGGAGGTGATGTCCAAAGGCACCAGTGGCATGGAGGTCATCCTGACTTCACTGGAGGTCAGTTGGCATCACTTCACGCACATGAGTCTGCTTGCCAGTCTACCTACCTAACTACCTACATACTGGATCCTCCTAACCCTACTATCCACCTCGCCCATCCATCTACCAACGTACTAATGTAACTTCCTTCCAACCAACCAAACCTACTTAGCCACCAACCTCCCTACGTATCTTTAGATGTCATGACCTGCAGATGTACTGAATGAATTGTCTAGTGGGTTTTGCATATCAAACGAGCATAATACCCTCTAAATAAACAATACACATACTGTCATGACTGTCGTTTTTTTTCTAGTTTTTTTTTTTTTTTTTTAACAAAAAGTTCTTGAGTACTATCTGATTTTTGGTCATTTGAAAAGCTAATTCATGACAATCTGACTCTTAACAGACCACCCGGGACATCCAGACGATTCTGAACATCCTGTGCATTCTCAGTGAACTACTGACCTTGGGTGAGAAAAGATGTATGTCGATATTCTCTCCATCCATTTTCTGTGGAGTTTATGACAGTGAGTTTGAGCCTATCCCATCTGATTTGGGCTTTGAGGCGAGGTATGCCCTAAAATGGTTGTTGGGCACAGATAGACAAGCGTTCACTTCCGCATTTACAAATAAAGGCAATATAAGGTCGTCGATGAACGTAGCGTTTATTTCGTTGGAATATGGGAGGAAGCTGCAGTATCTGTACTAACCACTACCTTCCTGCTCTCCTTAAAAACAGTATGATATGCAGTACTCCCCTCCAAGTATTAGTTATCCAATAAAAACAGACTTGGAGGATAGGGATGGTCACAAAGCCCTGCTGGATGTAGTGGGAAAAACACGAGTAAATAATGACCCCACTAAAAATGATTAGAGCTGCGTGTAGTAGTTTACTACACTCTATAATACCAAAGTAATTAAATATCATTTCAAACTTGTTTTACAACTTCACCCCTTAAAAATAAATGGATGATTTGGTTGAGAAAAAAAAATGCACCAAACGTGAGTATGTACGTGCACATGCAGCGAAGATTGTCCTTAACTTCTACTGACAGTCCAGGCTAAACGTAGTTCCCACCTAACATAACAACAGCTTGACTCTCAGTTGAGGTGTCTCACTTCTTCATTCTTCCTTGGCACCAATTCCTGAACTCTCATATTTTCCTTTGATACTATCTTGTGGCATAGATTAGAAAGAGCACGAAAAGTACAAAACGGTAAATTTTTCATTGACGAGCCAGTGATTGGTTCCACAGGGAAAAAAACAACTGAATAGGTGAATAGTGAACTGCGGATACATGGGGGATTACTTTACTTTTACTATGTAGTGTGGAAATCAACTCTGCTTGAAGGGATTAAATAATCTATTACATCCCATAAAAAAAATCAGAGGATGCCCGGTGGGATCACTATTTCTAATCATTTAAGTTTTCTGCTACTAGTAATACAGCAGCATTTTACACCGGGTTTCTCCATCTCCCTTGCCACTTTTTTTATGGACTACATTTTACCATTACTAGTTATAACAATTACATTCAAATTGTTTTACTTGCGGTAATCTCTTTGCTATTTTAGGCAAAGGACGCAGGGTGGGGGTCTTTGTATCAAAAGGAGGAACAGCCGTGTTACTCCGCATTCTAATCAATGCCAACAAAGAGTTTCACCCCAACGAGGAGCTCATGTTGCATCTTCACTCCCTACTGGCCAAGGTGGGCCCGAAAGGTAGGATGTTTTGCAAACACCATACGGGGGGGGATATGTTCCACACCCACCTGCAAAAGGCTAAAATCTGTGAGATAGTTGTACACATCCCAAATGCTTTAAACACATTTAAACTTAGTAAAACATACTTGTATGTATCTACTGTAGTGTCAGTGCCTTTAAGAGGTTGGGCTTGGCGGGATGGCACGTGACATTTCCGGGTGAGTGTCTGGCCGTGAGCTGTGGCCGACAGCATCTCCTGCTACAGTGTGCTCATTGTATGAATTTAACTGTTCTTCTGGACTTCATTGAACTGGTGAAAAGTGCATTGGTGAATATAGCACTCCTTTCGAACATGCAGGGGCATTACAGTAAGCAAGCATACTGTCCTGTAAAATCCTGTGGAAAATAAACGATTGCTGTAAACTGCAGGTTTCTACTCTATAGGGATGGATATCTGCGACAGACAAGTTGATATGTCAGACACCAAAAAAAATATCTGCTATGTGACCCACGATATTGCGAAGGACCAGTACATTGCACAAAAAGCAGAACTAGCGCATTGCATTGCTGAGCTTTAAGCCTGTGTGTGTGTGTGTGTGTGTGTGTGTGCGTGTACGTGTGTGTGTGTGTAGACAGGAAGTTGGGCGTAAAGGCGCGTCTGACTGGCGCTCTGCACGTCACAATAAACCTGATCAAGAAGAACCTCCAAAATGTCAAGCTGGTCCTGCCCTGTTTGCAGGTTCTTAGGGTGTACTCGGCCAATCGTAAGTCAATTGGAACTTTGCTCAATTGTCATTCATTCTCAAAGAAAAAAAACAAACATTTTGTTTGATGTTTGTTTTTACTTGTGCTCTGTGAAGTTGTGAACGCCATAGCCCTGGGCAAAAGTGGAGCCATCGACATGATGTTCAAGATTGTGGCACCGTACAGCAAGAAGAACGCAAGCCTGATTAAGTACGTATGTGGAAGACCAAAGGGTTTTTTTTGTCTATTTTTAAATGCATGTTCCTAAATGAGCCATTCAACAAACCCAATGAAGTTGGAACGTTGTGTTAAACATAAATAAAAACAGAAAACAAATGATTTGCAAATCATGTTCAACCTATGTTTAATTGACTAAAATGTTTCATGCAGCCCCACTAGTCTAAACACAGCATTCTGATTAATGTTGCGTTTGTGGAGTATGAGTTAAGAAGTAAAATCCACCCGTTTTTATCCATCTCAGAAAGTGGCTATTTTTCCACTTGCTGTCGACTGACAATGACATCATAGTTGGTCAGAGCTGATTTAATAACCAATCATGGCTTAGCTTCATGAAACAAGTGAGCCAAGATCGGTTGTTACCTATTCAGTTGCAGTCTGGACACAGAGGACTGAACATTTCTTGTTCTGGAAGGAGCCTTGGACTATCTCGAAGTCTCCAAAAACTCCACAAAAAGTCATTGAGTGCGCTGCACTGAGTAGTCCTTGCCTCTCCCAATACTGCAGCTCCTCCCATGGTCGTCATGGTAACAAAAACTGTACTCTTCATTTGATAGAACAGCCTAATTTGTGAAAAAAAAATGTCTCGTGTCTCCTTAGCCGCATTTGTAATGATGTTCCCTGTGTTTGACTCTGCAGGGTCGCTGTGGATGCACTCGTTGCTCTGCTCAAATCCAGTGAGTATTGATTTTACCGGGTGCACTGCTTGTAATGGCTCTGTCGCGTGACAGTCTGATGTCAAGCTGTTCTGAACTGCGGGTGGGCTCAAAACAATTTCCTTGATTGATAATTAGGATGGATGATTACAACTGCTTCAAAATTGATGTGGCAAGTAATAATGCGAGCCTGGATGCAAGGGTTTGAATACATACAGGGAAGCAACAGCACTAAAACAAATAAAATTAAAATAAAATGGTCATTTAAAAGAATCAATCAGCAGACAGATGGGAATGGAACTGAGACTAAAATATTGATCCTGATTTTTTTTATTTTTCATGCAAACAAGGGTAGAGACACAAAAATGGATTTCCGTTTTATCAAATATGCAATAACAGGAAATTACACAATATTTACACAACTAATATGAAATCATCACTGTTTCTGTTGTTTTTTTTTTAAGTTTTATTTTTTCACTTTTATTTATATAATTTTTTTTTGGGGGGGGAGTATTGTGGCATTATGCATTTCTTTTTGAGATCTTATTCTCTACTTCAGTTTGTCTGCAAAGTACTAGAAGTGATTTCTTGAATCATCTTATCTGGTACTAATCAGGCCTGAGTTTGGAAATTGAAATCAGCTATCCAAAAATTGCAGTTAACCATAGTGACTCATTATTTAACAATTAGTTTTTCCTAAAAGGACAGATTGGTTGGATTTTTTTCATCTTAATAAAATCATCAATTAAGCACCTGCATTTTTTTATTCACTTGGTTGTCTCTCTGAGCGACAATATATAATGTGATATATATATATATATATATATATATATATATATATATGATAAATAAAGAGGGAAAAAGAAAAATCAGAAATCAGGAAAGGAGCAAATGCTTTTTCATGTGCCTGTAATTCATTGTATCTTCTCATCCTCCATCCAGAAACAAATGCTCGGCGAACAGTGGAGGGTGGCTACGTTCCCACCCTGCTCGCCCTCTACCTGGACTGGCACCGCAACGACACGTGGCATCGTCATACGGTGATCCGCAAGGGACTCCTTGGCTGTCTGCGCAATGTCACCAACATCAAGCTGGGCAGGCGGGCGTTTACGAAAGCAGATGGCATGCGCATACTGTACAACTCTTCCACCGTGAGTGAGAGCATTGAGTGAATGCCAACACATAGCATTGCCTACAAACTACAGTCCTCCCAAAAAGTTTGGGTTGTTTGGCTGTCGGGTAAAATATTAGGGCCATACCTAAATTGCACTTTAACTTTTACTAGTGAGCATAATTTGAGCATTTGTAATATTTTGAGCACGTCTTCTCTAACAAGGTGCTTGAATTTAAAATTCACAGCAGGTGTTCAATCCACGAATAGACTAATTTTCTAGAGTGCACACTGGCATTCCATCTTCCGTGCACTCTGAATGAACCAGTGTAGGCTTGGGGCGGATTTTCAAACCTATACTGTTCACATTTCGACATTTTGAGATCAAAATGATGCCTAATAATTGATCACCAATAAACCACCATTATGGGCCCTCTAAAACACAGGTGTCGAAGTCCGGTCCTCGAGGGCCGGTGTCCTGCATGTTTTCCACCCCTCCCTGCTGCAACACACCTGATCCAAATGAACAGCTCATCAGCAAGCTCTATCGGAGCCTGATAGTGATCCTGATCATTTGAATCAGGTGTGTTGCAGCAGGGAGGGATGGAAAACATGCAGGACACCGGCCCTCGAGGACCGGACTTCGACACCTGTGCTCTAAAAGGATGATGTCAGAGGGAAGCGTCATCAGCAGGTTTCAATAGCAATCCAGAGAAACCGGAAGGTAGAGAAGCAAACGTCCTTAGAAATCTATTGGTGGAATGTAATTACTTTGGCCTTCATCGTGCATTTTACGCTCATAACGAAATGTCCTCTTCTGAGTAGTGATATTTCCACTCTGGTATTTTTTCCAGGAGTGTCTCTCGGTGCGCACCTTGGATCCTCTTGTCAATGCCTCAAGTCTCATCATGAGGAAGTGCTTCCCCAAAAACCGCCTGCCTTTGCCGACCATCAAGTCGGCTTTCCATTATCAGCTGGAGCACGTGCTGGCTTCAGGGCCTGTCGCACAGCTATACAGCCAACCTCCCGGAGGTGAGAAAACATCGTAAAAAACATGACAAAAGGGGGTGTGAGGGTCCCGTGCAATTCATGGACACATGTGCACACTCAAATGTTTCTCACACACTGCTACACTTACAGGAAGAACACATGCACAGCTCAGCAAGCCCTTAAAGAAGGGTAAGACTATTCAAGACAAGCAGAGAATAACATTTACCATTCATCATGCCTGCATGAGTCATTACTAAACTAGTGGTATACATGCATCATATAATGCTCGTTTCATGCTCTCAAAGATCATTGCGCAACAATATAGCTCGTCTACTCCGCAGGATTCCTTGTATGCAACGCTGTGGCTACAGAGATCAAGTTGAACTATTCAGTTTTTCCCATTGGAAATAATTTAGGTTGAACGAATCTGTTTCAGGCTCAAACCTTCTCCACCATCAAACTTTTATTAACCAAACATGCAATGTTTCAACCCTGCTGTTTAGTTTTTTTTTCCCCACAACAAAATTGTTCTCAAATAACCCAAGGCGTGTTTAATAAATAATTAAAACCAATCTGTGTGTGTGTGCGTGTGCGTGTGCGTGTGCGTGTGTATGTACATATATAATCTGCTTAATGAAAGACCAAAAGGACAAAAATAAGGCCAGCAGAAAGTGTCATTCTAATTTTAAGAAAATATTTTCTTTGCTTTTAAAACTTTAAAATGAGGGTCAAATTGACTAGCAGTTTAACAGGGGGGGTTAATATACATTTAACTGTCACGTACTCAACCACTGTTAATTCATAATATAAGATCAAAATAAAAATATCGATAGATTTAAAGCACGAACACCAACCGTCGTCTATTAACTTTGACTGATGTCTAATAGACGATTATTCATCATGTATGTACTTGAAGAAATGATCAACTTTCTTCAAAAAACATTATCATTTGATCATGGCTGCACGCATTTTGTGTTTGGAGACATCCTGGTGACCCCTCACAAGAATAATATGTTCCCCCAGAGAAACATGCAGGAAGTGCCAGTTTTAAGGTTAATAAGTGATGCGCTGTGTGTATGTGTGTCCCACCAGTGGACGACGTGGTGGATGAAAGTGACGATAACGAGGACACAGAGGCAGACACGGAGAACGATACGGAGAACGAGGAAGATGAAAAGGATTGTCGCTCCCTGGTAACTCTTGCACTGGTTTCTTTTCTTGCATGTACGTATGCAAACGCCCACATCCTGTCATGCATTTCATTTACAGAATGACGACATTGAAAAGGATATAAACAAGCTAAACCCGCAGAAGATCCCGAGCCGACCTTACGAAGAGTTAAAAGTCTACGAGAAATTCTTCATGGAGTTGTCCCAAGACTTCCAGGTAGGGCTGAACGATTTTGAAAAATAATATAATTGTAATTACACATACTCCGAACAATATGTGAGTATGTAGACTGCACTTCTTAAGCATTGAACTTATCAAGACACTAACTAACTACTGAATACGAAAAATAATCATAAAATTGTGAACCTCCAAGAACCGAGGCAGACTTTAATGTAATAAGTCACGTGACGTAGCATCCAGGAGCCTGAAAAAACATTGTGGAGCATTCACATGAGAATAATATTTTCCACATATTCCTCCACTCTAGGGTTTCAACTTTGGATCCTCTACCACATCTTCATCGGCTCAATCTGCTCAGCCCATCGTTGTGCCCACCGCTCAGGTGCCGTCCCCAAATCACGTCACCGCACGGAGCACTGAAGATGTCTGTGACTCTTCTGCTCCCACTCCCGCTCTTCGCCCTTTGCAGCTGGACGCCAGTGATTTTGCCAAGGGCCCCAACAAAAACGAGGAGGCACATAATCAACCAGCGGAGCAGAAACTGCCTAAACGTGTCTCCTTAAATGCGGCTCCAATGAGAGTCAAACAAAAAGAAACGGCAGTTAGTGCGCTGAAGGCCACGCAGTCCCCTCTGCTTTTGGAGGGCATCGCCATTCGCTGTTTAGCAGGAGGCGGATCAGACTGCGGCTCAGAGGGCGCAGAGGATGAAGTCGGTGAAGGGGCTGTCCTGGAGGTACCCGACACCGCTCAGCTTCTCCCTTTGCATGACCTGGACCTTTACGTGGAGATGGTGAAGGGGACAAAGTCTGTGCCGAGCTACACTGAGGTAGCCTACCCGGACTACTTTGGACACGTGGCCCCCACATATAGAGAGCCCCTTCTGGAGAGGTTGTACGGGGTACAGAGGTGAGAAAACGCTGTTGGTGAAAATCATTCACAGCCATGTAATGGTTAGCACGCCGGAATAATAATTGAGAGGTTTTGGGTTCAGGTTTTGGCTTAGACCTCTCTAGGTGGAATTTACATGTTCTCCTTGTGCTTATGTGGCGTTTCTCCTAGTACTCCTCCCACAATTCCAAAACATGCATGTCAGACTCAAAATTGTTCTTAGCTGTGAATGTGAGAGTGAAGACTGATATGGCCTCCATCTCACTCATGATCGAAATGAGGAGAAACCCTATATTTTGTTCACAATTTGAAACTGTTGCCTGGCATGTCATGCTTTCATCAAAATGTGCAATAAAAGTATTAATTTCATGCCCTATTGTGGCTTTTTAGTGCCACGGAACTATGTTGACGTGAGTTGATGTTTTGCCACTGTATTGGCAATTTCAAGCATTTTCATCAGGGCCGTCAGTTACTTGCCGATTTTTGTTATTCATGGCCGAGCTTGGCCCTTATCCCTAAATAGCGGGCAAACACTTTAAAGCATTTTTTTTTAAATCATGGAGACTAGAGACAGAGCCTGTGGGTGGATTACTTGTCCAATCTTTAAGAGAGTACAAACTGATAACACCCACAAAAACCACACAGATCATGTTTTCACTCCCGGAAGCAGCATTTCATTACCAAGCCATGAAATCACTTTTTGTGAATTAGTGTGCAGGATTCTTGCCTATGGCATACGCAGCAAACACATTGATGTACTTGTTTAATTTCACACTTGATAGGTAGGCGCTCCAGAAACCCAACTATTTGTATTGGAGTAATTTCAAATTAAAAGTCAAACAGAACCCATTCTGCTTGGTTTGTCCAAACTATTTCATATTCTGTCATAGGGACAGAGCCCTCCTGTATATTGATTCTTTCCCCCCTCTCCCTAAAAAGGTTTGTGATTGCTGGGAGATGCCACTAGATTGCGACAAAGCATCTGTTTTCTATTATCCAAGGCTCCGGCCTGACTTAATGGTGCTTCTCCCTTTATGTCAACATAGTTATGTGGCACCACAATGGCATTAAAGCAATATCTCTATATTATACAGGAATTTTCCTGAGCACAAAATCAGTGAATAAGTTAGTTTAGCAGCAACAAAAATGGACATTTTTGTTGCTGCTAAACTCACTTTAGCACCCATTAATCGTTTATCGCGGTTAATGGGGACCAAAACCACCCGCGATAAACGAAAATCTGCGAAGTAGCGACCAATTAACATATTAAAAAAAAAACGTTTTTTTTAAAGTCCGCAAATGGTCCGCGAGAAGCTGCGAAAGTCATCAAAACAACAGCGAGTCACATAGAGCAACATATACAGTACTGTACTCCATGTGTATGAATTTTTTTTTTTTAAATGAATATGTTTGAAAAAATCCGAGATGCACTGAAGCCGCGATAAACGAACCGCGAAATAGCGAGGGATCACTGTATGTGAATTTGCTCACGCCAAACTGACTATGCGAGTTTCCAAGTTCCAAAAATGCAATAAAGCTCCTAAATTTGCTCATGTAACCATACAGGTCTAAGATATTCCAGGATATCGAGAGGTTGATTCATCCAAACGACATCATGGATAAAGTCGTTTACGACCTCGACATTCCCAGGTAGGTTTTTAGTTTTTCATCTGATACCTCTTTTTTAGTCGACAGTATTTTGAATAGAGTCTTTTATTTATTTTTTTATCTTATTCTATTTTCATTATTTTGCAGTTGTCCCGTGATTGGAAGCGATGGCGAGTCACTGAGGTTCAATTCTCAGTTTGAGTCCGGCAACCTCCGGAAGGCCATTCAGATCAGGAAGTAAGCTTGCAGATCCGTTACCATTGTGATGACAAGATGTTCTGTTCACTCGGCACATGATACAGATATTGTGCGCAGGTACGAGTACGACCTGATTCTGAACTCGGACATCAACAGCAACCATCACCACCAGTGGTTCTACTTTGAGGTGAGCGGCATGCGTGTGGGAACCACGTACCGCTTCAACATCATCAATTGTGAAAAGTCCAACAGCCAGTTCAATTATGGTGAGATTGCTACAACACTTTCCTTATTATGAAATAAAGTTCAATTACTCAAGATATAAACAGTGGTGCTTTGAAATATTAGTTTAATTTGTTCCCTGATCACGCTTCCGACTCGAAAACCAAATCATGTTCCCTCATTGAAATGAGTGAAAATGTTATGAATCCGTTCTAGCCCCCCCCAAAAAAAAACAACAACACATGATTTAAGTGTTTTTCAAAAGGAAAAATAGCACTTTATTAAGAATAATTGTAATCACAGAATTTAATGGAAATAATTAAAATCTTAGCCACCAGTGACAGTGTTATACACACGTACAGTTACATGGAGATAGTAGTTGTTCTTCACAGTGGATAAAAATACATTTATGCTTGTGAGTATTGCTGTATTGTCTGTCTACCGTTGTTGCTCCTTCATTTATGTTCAAATGTTCATGATTTAAAGGATTATAACTTAGTTAGCCCATCTATGGCATTTAGCATTGTTATTTAGCATTTAGCTAAACAGACTTGAAAGCAAAGCTATGTGGTTGTTTCAAATATATGTCATTCTCTTCGTTGTACTGACAATTTAGTGTGACAGTAAAATTCAACTCGGGTGGCAGTCCACAGCTTTAAGTCTCTTTTTTGAAGAATTTTCTGCCAAACTGCTACGTATCGTGAAATGGGTTGAGTTGAGTTCACTGCCATCATAAAGACTCCGAAGTCAGGTCACTCGTTTCTCAAAGCCCCGATTTTGTGTGTGTGTGTGTGTGTGTGTGTGTGTGTGTGTGTGTGTGTGTGTGTGTGTGTGTGTGTGTGTGTGTGTGCGTGCGCGCGGGTGGGTGTGTGTCTAG